CCAACCCTCCTCCTCCTCCACATCTCCTGCCCCAAGGACTTTGCCTCGCCCCTCCAGCACATCTTGCTGCGCCCACCTGCCTGCTGTGCCCCAAACAGCCCTCTGCCCCATTGCCATCCAGCCTGACCACCCCATTGCCTGTCGGTGCCCCCGAGGCCCACCATCCCTCTTGCCCCGCTGCCCGCCGGTTCCCCCCCAAGGAAAAAAAACCCTTTCCCTTCACACCCACCGGGGAACAGCTACCCTTCCCCTCCCAGCTCACACCAGGGGGTAACAAGTGGCCTTGCCTTGTTTCTCCTTCTCTCCCCCATCTTTGCCCTGAAGCCCTCGACCTAGGGTAGCAATCCCTCCTCCGCATCTTTTTCCCTTCTTTGCAGCAGGAGGCCCTTGCTTCACTCCGCATTTCTTACTTTGTCATCACCTCCGAACTCATCCTCCCCTGCAGTATTTCCCTCTGCCGTAACTCTCCCTCCCATGCAATCTGGAGAGACCAGGCCACCTCCCTGCTCTTCCTCCTCCCAGCACAGCAGCACTGCGAACACCAGTGCAGCCTTGGCAGCGTGGAAGCCACCGGGCAGCCAGCTACCATCTCTTATTGGGGTTTGATCTGCCTCCTGCACCTGCTCGGCACTGATGGCTGCCAGGAGCCTTCACTAGTACCTCTCTCATTTATAGGGTAGCTGAAACGCCGCGCTGAGGATTAAATCCTCTCCTTTCTCCTCTCTGTCACAAACAGGTAGCAAAACTACCCTCTTTTCCTGCCCCAAAAAGAGTCAATGCTCATTCCCCAACACACAAACCGGTACGATCGTTCACGTACTCCTGTGGCTCTGTTGTATCTGTAGTGCTGGCCACTTCAGGCAAGTGGTGGATGGATTTTAGTTTGGACTTGGGCTTTGGTAGGTATGAACTCGGGTGGGAGGCTAACGCATAGCCCATCCCCGTGGTAGGTGACCTGCACACTTGTTGTTACTGGGATGCTAGCAGCAGGGTTGAAATGGGTCTCTTCACTGGCCGGAATCGATTCTTTTATGTTCCCTGTCTTCCGCTGCAACAGTTGTGCAAATTCTCGCACTCAGCTGAAGAGGTGGGATTTCACTGTCTTACCAGGGGACACCAACCCTTTTTTTTTTTTTTTCTTTCAATAACAAGCATTACAGTGAAACAACAAAAAACTTTTCCTGGGCTTGCATGAGTCACAACTTTATACGTATTTTTTGCAGGCAGGCCTCTGAAGGGTTAGCAAAGAAATTAACAGTGACAATAGCAAGCTCTTAGCATTTTTCACCCTCCTTGTGCTTTCCAGCAAAGAAGGTAAAATACTTGTAAACAAGTGACCAAGAACGTATAATCTCTTTGTTTTGAATTTGCTGACAAATAGCCGGGACGGCCAATGACAAGGCACTTGACCGAAAGGAATGCAAATGCAGAGAGTTTTGCATACATTTTAAATCAAATGATAGCCATCCTTTAAGCCGGGAATGCTCAGGGGATATACAGTGATGAGTCATGCAGTCAGTTGCTCTTAAATTTACCATTAGGATACATCTGGGGTTTTTTCTAACACGCAGAAGATACGAACTGAAGGAAGTTATTTGAAACATTTGCGTTTGTTTTTCTGCTAAGAGTTTCTTGCCAGTTGGTGTACCAAATATCATAGCATTTGTTGTATAGTCTGTTTTACACTTACTCAAGTAAATTATTGGTATTTTACTAAATTATACACCACAGCTTAAAATCTTGCACATTCTGTTCTCTGCTAATGGAGAAGACTACAGATCACAAGCAAAGATGGTCTTAGGGAAGAACTAATTATTCCAAGAAGTAATCTTAATTTTGTGAAACGCCAAGCAATTTGCAGTTCTAATTCCCAGTTCTGCTCTGGTTCACTTGCCTTGGGACTTCAGAGGAGGTAAAACCTGGCTTTAAAGCTCGCTGGGGAGTTCCCTGCGTGCAGGGCAAACTACCGGCTGCATAATCACCCCCTGCGTTAGGGACATTCCTAGGGGAAAAGTGAGGTGTGACACACCTGCCATCACACTCTTCTGAACGAGAGCACTTATTTTCTTGGAGAAACTGTTTTGGAAAAATTCTTACATGTGTCTAGTTCATTGACACTGCTGTATTTGATCTGGATTTCATACATGGTCTTAGAAATGATCTTTAACACGCACAGTTTGTATTACTTCTCAAAATAAAGTAATTCTCAGCACTTCCACAAGAAGGGTGAGCAAGCTGCAAACACTGGTGCCGGACAGTTGACTTATTTTGAGCTCAGACAGGACAGTTACTGACTATATTTACTTGGACGTCAGTAAGGCATCACTCAGCAGAATCTGGCATTGTGCTAGGTGCCATATGGACGGCAACAACATCATCAAGAACTTTAACACCTTACTAGAACAAGAACCTACAGACTTGCTTAGTATAGACTCAGGTCTGTAGTGCGGACTCGGGTGAATGAGAGGTAGATCCTAGGGTTCGTTCTGTCTTGAGATGAGTTGTCATTTAGAGCAATCTGCTGCTTTGGCTGTGTTTCACATCATTGAACCTGTGATTTTTTGTTTGTTTGTTTAATTTCCCTGTATTTAAGTCCAACAATATATTTAAATCATGAAACTTCCAAGTCTATAAAGTGCCTGGTAGTGGTGCTAAGACTGAGAGTTCATTTCAAAAACGTAGGGGCAAAATAATTGTGGGGATGCCTCAATTATATTAACCCACTTTTTAGTAGACTATGATATTAGATACATTTTGTTTCTAACACATGGCTTGAAAATAAAACACTCTCCTTATTCTCCTTTTTGAGTAAGCAATATGTATTTTCAAAATTAATACCATTACAATTTAGTCTTTAGTCACAGTATAAAAATAAAATTAGATAAAGCTTTCAGTGAAAGTTTGGTTCATCTGGTAAAGACCAGTACGATCATAATGAGAAAGAAACACTGTGACTGATTTAAAGTCATCCTAAAGCCATCATAATGAGGAAGAAACACTGTGACTGATTTAAAATCACCCTAAAGCCATAGCCTGATGTGATTAATACATCTTCTCATTCATTTTCAGAAACAATTGTTCAGTGGCCATCATCTTGCCCAGGCTTTTCTTGAGAGTCTTAATTCGGGTCTTACATCTTGAAGCTAATATTCAGATTAAGCTAAGAGAATGTCTTCTGTTCTAGACAGTATTTTCCCCTTCCATAAGGCAGAATTAATTAGCAGAACTAACACATACTCTACATGGGAAGTCATAATTTACAAAAGAATTTAGGATCTGCATTTAACAAATATTCCCAATTAGAACTAAAGGCTTCAAAGTTATCCTTTGGAAAAACATCCTAACGTATCATTATTGCACATGACAACGTATAACTTCTTGAGGAGCAGTCTCACCTCCAGCAATTACAAATACAGAACCATCTGGAGGAACCTTACAGCATTCGATATCAAAGTGTCACGATTCCCTTTTAATACTCAGTGCAGTCTTACCTTTTTAGCATGTTCTAATAGGGGAAAACTGATTTTCTCCAACCCTTTATCTGTATTTACCTTTCATTTATTACAAGTGCCAAGAATGATATGAAAAGAGCAAAAATATTATACATACAAGTACTCTTGCTGAAAATAAAAACTTAGGATCATCTTGAGGATGGTAGGACAGACCATATTTAACAACAGCAGAGACAAGGAGCTTTGTACTCTCTATTTATTTATATGGAGCGGGGGAGAAAATAAGGATTACCTTTTCGATAACGCGTATGTCAATTTGTGTAACTCTCAGGCAAAGATGGTGTAAGAGCTCACATATTTAGTGCGGACCGACTGGAGGCTGTAGCACGCCCGTCATCGGTGGCTGGTGTGACATGCGTACTCTGGCCTGAAAGAGGAGGAGCTGCACAGCCACGTAGGCCTCCGGTCACCGAGGAGTTACAGTCACCTCTGTTAAGTAGGAGGGTTGTTTCCTTTCATTTAGCCATGGGAAGCCAGCAAATTCCCTCCTGAAATATCAGCTTGCGCCTTGAAGAACGACCCAGGCAGACACATGGGTTTGGGCACTTCCATTAGCTGTCGCTTACAGAAGGGTTCAGTCTTCTGTGAAAGACAGATTGGGAGACGAGGCAGCAAGGAAGTACTGGGCGCAAAAGAACAGAAGAAAACCCGGGTGGTTTGGGCAGAGAGATAAGACACATGAATAAAGATGGATGCAGGGATGGATTTAAGAGTTCAGTCCCCCTTTCATTCAAAGTCACGGGCAGATTTACCAGATCCTAAATCTGAACAAAGTTCTGCTTCTCGCTTCCAACCAGCACCTCCTCTGAACAGTTTTGTGGAAGGAGATGGCAGACTTCATTGCTGTCGCCCCAGTTTTAGAAGAAAGGCTGCTCTTTGGCCATTACTTTTTCACCTGAATCCCACCCTGTCCCTAACTTAAGGCTTTCCCTCTACTAAAGGAAGTACTCCTCTCTCCCTCCTTCCCCACAGAAAATTAATCATGGTGCTGCAGGTAACACAGTCCCTTCCATAATGCTAGTTTAATGACATTAATGACATTAGCTGAACCAAAGTTTACACAAGAAGCCATCATTGCAACAAGAATTTAGGATCTGCATGGGGATAATTTGAGAAATGGAAATTTGAACACCCTTTATGAATAAGTTGGACTACATCAAACCTGACCTGCCACCAGTTCCTCATCCTGGCTTGAAAATCTTGCAGGACTCTAGGGGTTTTTTCCTTCTGTTCAAAAAGTGACAACGAGGGAGTTAAAAATGTCGTTTTGCTTATAGAGTCTGATCTTGCAGCACTTACAAAGTGTGTATAATCATGTAAGTGGATTCCCTGCTTGTGAAAGAACATGAGAAAGGCCAGTCTGATTTTGTCTATGGTCCATACTCGGATATCTTGTCTCTGATAGAGTCTTTGAATTCTCCGCTATCCTCTACTTTCAACTTGAGGGACTTCTGGAGACTGATGCGGTTTGTCTGTTACTAAAGCTCACTCAGTCTTTTGTTCAGGACTTGTTCAGTCTTCCATAAACTCTTTGAATTCATAACATCTTTCCCAAGGAGATCTGCAAGTCTACCAGCTGTTGCATGAAAAGACTTTTACTGTCAGCCCTCCTTATCTTTTGTTGGCTACCATGCACTCTCAGCAAGCTTTTCAGTGAAGACACAGGCAGTACATTGACGTGGCCCGTAAAGTCTATAAAACTGTACGTTTTCTGAGCAAAACCCCTCGAGCAGCCTCGGTACCATGGGATTGCGAAGTCATGCACGAGGAGTCTGTGTGAAAGATGGGTACCTCCGTTGTGCTAAAAGAAAGTTCCTCTGCATTTTGTGAGGAGCTTGAACCCATCGGAGGGTGTTGATGTGCTCTTGGGAAGCCCTCCCAAGCAGAATCCTTCTGGGCACTCACCTGGAGCGATGGTTTGTTTTGAGCTGGGAGCTGAGCTCAGAGGGAAGGCAGGGCTGTCCCCGCTGCGCGGGTCGCAGCCCGTGCCGAGGCCACATGCTCGTGTCCCCGGGGAACTTGTTCGGGTGCCGTGGTTAGATAGGCAGATGAGTGGAGCACAGCTTCAGATGTTGGTGTTACCGTTCTGCCTAAACCTCGTTGAAGGCACTTAGAAGTCCTATAATCTTTGGCGACTATATTAATAAGAGGCAAAAATTGCCCTTGCGCTTAGTTTTATAGAGAAAAAACCAAACCAGAACAAAAGCAGAGGGACCTACCAGACCATCTAAGTCAAAGCTCTTTCATTCTTTCTAGGTGTGATACAGGGCGTAAGTGAGCAGAAGTACATCCACTTCACACAGTTCCTTTTCCAAATAACTCTAAATTGTTTGCTAAAAATAGATGTCTAATACTTCATCTACTCTGTCATATTTAAGTCCAATATTTTGCATCTGTAAGATGTTTCAGATACTGTTAAACAACCTACCGCATTCACGTGCCCAGATGTTTTTTCCAGTTGATGGCCTAAACTTTCTGCTTCAAAATTTTGTTTTGTTTTTCAGGAATACTTTCTTTTTAAATATAACTGCAAATAATAACTCACCTTAATAGTAGAACTATTCAAATATTTGTACACCAGATTTTAACAAACATCATCCTTTTCTCAGATGTTAGACAATCATGTAACATGATATCATATGTATCTTTAAAACTTTTTGTCTTACTTTTTTCATTTGTCACTGTTTTCTAAAGCCTCTCTAGTATATCAACCTTTCTTTTGATAATGAGAAAACTAATTTCCAATTATACATATCAAAAACAGAGAAAAAAACGACTGCTGTCTCTCCCATATATTCACCCAGTTTTTGTGATGTCCGGCCCAAAGCTACAGGTGCTTTTTAATCATCTCTGTTACAGGCAATACATACACATAATTAAATATAATGGCTTAGATCATCAGCTAGTGTAAATTAGCGTATCTCTGCAGACGGGAATTACAACAGATGAGGGTACTGACTGCTGTGTAGAAGCACCCAGTAACACATGGCAGGCTGTTTTTCAGTTCTCCAGTTCATAGATACATGATATAACATTATTCTATATAGAAATGCTTGGTAAATGATGCACTGCATTTTCAATACTAACGTACTTTCTTCCATGGCTAATGCATTTCTTTGGCATAACTGTTTTCAAGGTAATTTTTTTTAAATGAAAATAGGTTGTATTAGCTTCCACTTCTCCAAATGGAATCCCATTTTTGTCACCCACTTCCACTCTTCTTAGAACCACTTGAATTATTTTAATGTACTCATTTGTGTTTGCAACTGCTCTACAGCAAAACGAATGCCTAAGAAAACCTGAAACAGATCTTTACTGTACTTTAATACTTCACAAAATGTGACACCCCTCATTTATGGTCTTAAATAATTTTGCAAAACCATGCATCATTTTTCATAGCCAGGCTATTTGAATTAATCTGAGGGTAAGATCTTGTTGTCTTCACATTTGAACTGTTCAGAGAAATACTCCACGGACTCTATAGCTGGGAACGTAGAAAAGATCTTTCGAAACATTAGGACAAACGATCCCTCCCTGTTATCTAAATAAAACCATTTCCAATGCTGTTTGCTGTGACTAAATGAATCCAGATTGCCAAGAAACCTAAGCCTTCTCTAGCTGCGCACTTACCTATCTGTTAGATGTTTACTGCTGCTAATTATACCTCTGTGTTCAAATTGTTGTAAAACACTATATGGAATGCGATGAACTGAAAATCAGAGGGAGCTACTGTTACGGAAAGATTTGTTACTGTGTACAGTTCATTCCTGATTCCAAAAGTTTTGAGGCTGCATCTTCTTCGTAATCATTAGATAAAATGGAATTAATGCTTGGCTAAATTATAATTTCAAATAATGATTGTTAATAGAGATCGTGCATCTCATTTCAGTTGGAGAATACTTATATATACACTAGCTATATATATTTATCCTAGTAACGAGTGCTTGCGTCCATTCCTTGGTGGGCTGTCACTTCCTTTAAAATGTCTCTTCTCACTTTCTCCCTCCTCCGCTATTGCTCATGATTAGAGACTTACAATAATTTTTTAGTCCCTGTATCTTTCTCTACATTCTAACAAACATTTTTTATTCTTCTAGAGCATATTAAAAATCTTTTCAACCAGAGGAAGGGTTTCCTTCTTACAAAATTCCTTCCAGTGAATGCTCTGGAACGTAGAGGGCTCAAAAGTAGAAAATACCTGCTGCCAGTCCTGGATGTTTCATGTCAAAAGAAAGTAAATGCAATTACCAAGAGCTTGTCAGCCTCTATGTGAGAGAGATGCTGGAGGTAGAAGTGTTCCTCACCAATGCTGTAACAAGGGTGTGTTTGCCCAGCTCAGTTACTTTTGGATGGTTTTGTGTAGGGAGTTTCCTTTCTTTGTTACCCCTTGACTTCTGTAAGGACAAGGAATTATGATTATCTGTACAAACTCTTCTATCAAAAAGTTTTTCTGCAAGGAATACAGAAGGACACGCTTGTACGTTGGAAAGCTTAGGCTCCAAGTCTCTCGACATCTGCCTACATATTTCAGTTTGACATAATTGATTAGAACAAAGCCAAGTGCATGTTTGTATAAAACTGAAGGACTTGGACTTTAACACCAACAAGTATTTGACAAATAAATATATATATATTTTATTCTGTGAACATGTGCCATAGTTTGCTAATAAAGAGTACTTTGCAGAATAATTCAGCATTCAAAACTGGCACTAGAGATGTTGGCTTCAAGAGTGGTTAGAAAGTGACTTTTGAATGTAAGGAAAAATGAAAAAGGAGCATTTTTGTGTGTAGAAGGTAAATTAATACATTCCGATTAGTTTTTAAAAAGTAAAGATACTTCATAAAACTTATAGTAGATAAAAACACATTGCCACATGGAAAAGTAATCTATTTCTGAATAAAGTGAACATGTATTTTAATTTTCCTTTTTCTTTTTTCTTTTTTCCTTCACAGATCAATAACACGCTCTTATTATCGCAATTCTGTGGGTGGCTTACTAGTCTTTGACATCACAAATCGACGATCTTTCGAACATGTGAAAGACTGGCTAGAAGAAGCAAAAATGCATGTGCAGCCCTTTCAGATTGTGTTCCTGTTAGTGGGACATAAATGTGACTTAGTGTCACAGCGTGAGGTTACAAGAGAAGAAGCTGAAAAACTGTCATCGGACTGTGGTATGAAATATATAGAAACTTCAGCAAAAGATGCCACAAATGTCGAAGAGTCTTTTACAATTCTTACACGAGACATCTATGAACTTGTAAAAAAAGGAGAAATCTCAATACAAGATGGATGGGAAGGTGTCAAGAGCGGCTTTGTTCCAAATGTTGTACACTCATCAGAAGAAGCTGTAAAGCCCAGAAGACAGTGCATCTGCTGAATTTGTAGCATGCCAAAGAGCACATCGGGTGTTCAGAAGATGATGCCAACCTAAATAACAGAATAATAATTTTGAAACAATATTAGATCATGACATAGGTGAATCATAGAATGGTAATTTGGTTTTGTATCCTTCTGTCTAGGTCATAACTTCATAAAACTTTAAGTGCTTTTTTTTTCTTTTCAGAGTACAGTAACTTTGTGTGGTCTTCAGGAAAAGAAATTATATATTGCTAAAGGAAAAACTAATCCTATAGCATGACACTGAGAAAGCGCAATAATCATCCTGACAAATCCTCTCTTGGGCTTTGTATTTTGAATACTGTTTAAAATCAAGGCTTGCTAGGTGAGGATGAGATGAGCTCATTACTTTTGTTCATCCTGCCTTAGTTTTGGACAAGAAAATATTATACCTTATACTTTTTTTATGTGATTCTTTACTCCAGTGCAGGGTTGTGAATGACCATTAAAGTTTAGAATGCTGTAGAATTTCATAATAAAGATAACTGTAACGAAAGCAAGCTGAAAGATTGCTCCAATAGCAAACACTTTTGATATGACTATGAATACAAGCCTTACTAAAGAAAAAGAATGTTTTAGAAAAGATGATTTATTTGTATACGAAAATGGGGAATAGAAGCAATTAAATTTATTATTAAATATTTTCTGAATTGCCAATGAAACTAAAGGTAACATCACATATGATCCAGCTGTTATTTGACTTCTATACAAAACAGATTTCCCAGCCACTGGAGTTACATTTTGGTGGCTGGATCCTCAGCTGGGTAATTATCATAGCCACACTGATGCCTAGGGAATTATGTTAATTTACACAAACAAATTCCATATTAGCTTTAAAAAATAAATCTACTTCTAACTAGAAGGAAAAAGAAGTTTAAAAGTGCTGCAACCCATGGAGACCCAGGCCTTAAATTCAAATAGAGCAAGGATTGTTTTATTCTCAGCCAGCAAATGTTAAACTGTTGTCTAAAAAATGAAGGTTTTTAAAACCAAAACTGTTATGAATAGAGTGTTTGGAGAGGAGAGAATTTCTAAAATAATGCTTGGCTACAGAGAGCAAAGTCAGGGAACTCCTGTTCTAAGAAAGCAACACATAATAACTTTTAATAACAATAATAATAGGAGAAATCTGTGATCATGTAGCATTTTACTGAGCTTGAGGTCATCTTCCTACTCCTCTGAATATGACACACACTAGCTTTATGCAAACTATGCCCTATATGTCTAGCACTTCAATACCAAATAAGTCTATTTCTATTTTATTGTAGTAGTATAACAAGATGACTTGATCTCCAGAGTTGATAAGCATCTACAATTTATCTGGACATACTCATAACCACTGAACATCAAGCCAGTTATCTTCATATAAAGGTGTGTTATCATGTTACAATTCTCCATTTTCAAGACCAGGCAACAAGTCTATCTAATCTAATTTTTTTCTTCAACAAACATTGTAATTGGTTTTCCCTCAGGTTACTTTTAGGTCCTTTTACAATCCTTTTGTAAATGTTTTGTAGTATAGAGACAGGTTCTTTGGTTCCAGTTATTTTCTTCATTTTGGGCCACTAAAATTATTGACTTCAAAGGGAAATGAAAGGTTAATTTTTTCAATAGCCCGAGTCTCACTTGCACTGAGGCACAGTTACACTGTCATAGAAGGATACAGAGGCCTTAATATAAACAGGAATCAGCCTTAATTCTTTAGCAATTAAAACAGTTAATTCTAGTCTCAGCATGCCATAAAGTAATTGCTGTGAGCCTGATTCTCTATTAAACTACATATATTAGTCATGTACACCAAATCGATTTTGATTTGAGGGCATTTTAGGCCCTGTTTACAAAGTAAATGTGACTACGGGTGCCAAAAGGTAGTGCAGAATCAGGCTGTGTGCATTTGACGCTGGTTCCCTTATGGTACTAGGCCCAAGTTGTGTATCTCAGAAGATCTTCTCTTAGTTGTTTAAGAGGACAGAACGGGCCAACGAAGGAATCGGTGGCTGGGGAGTCAACGGACCCAAAGTCTGCCGCTGGTTCACTGTGTGTTTCTGAGCAAGGCTTTATGCTTTCTGTGCCTCACCTTCTATATCTCAAAAATAGAGATGATCGTTCTTCCTCGCATTCACAAAGACTGCTGAGACCCAATCCGACTGCGTGATCTTCAGTCTGGACTCTTTTCTCTGTGTGCTGCCTGTTGTAGAGTGTTTAGCACCATGGGATGTGGATACTGGTTTCTTCTGCCATACCAAAAAAAACAATTAAAAGTACTAAAACAGCTTTGTAAGTACCAGGTATTGCTATTACTATGAATCTACATTTCATTAGACATTTCATTACTTCCAGGTTAAGATCTTTTATCATAAATTTTTCTTCCTGAATACTCTGGAGCCAACGAGCTTTTCATTGTGTATGAAAAAAATTGGGTGCGTTGGGGAGGGGGAATGGACTGGGAGAAGAGGGGAGTGGAGGGGAGGTATGCACAGAAAAATAAACAGTCATCAGAACAGAGCCTTAATGATCTCTGCTGTCAATGTTGTACCTGTAGCATCACATTTATTGCACTGGGAATAGAGCTTTTAACCAGATTCAACTGTGTAAGGAGCTGGTATTGTCAATGCAACTAGAAAAGAAGTTCACTGCATTTTAAAGTACTGTGCACATAGTTGTCTTATTTGTAATTCCTAAAAATGTAGATTGACATGTACATTCAAACATTGTCTATCTTGATGATACATTAAACCACTACTGTACCTTCTCACTACACACTTGCAGTTAATAGAAATGTCTGATAAACAGATGATTTGCTGAAATACGTCATTTTGTTTTCAGATGCTTTGCAGCACAGTATGTAAGTAACAGCTTGAATAGGCTGTAGAATGAATTATAGTTCACTGCCTGTATATTCTTTTTTTTCCCCCAAGGAAGGGCAAATATTGATACCAGAATGAAATTTCCAGGAATTACAGAAATTAGAGAAATCTCATTTGGCAGCCAAATCAATAAGTAGAAATTATTTATTAAGAAAACATTACAACTTCGCAAAATAAAGTTTGGTAAATCCCAGTTAGAAAAAGAAAAAACCTGTTGAAATAGTAAATAGTTTGGATTTGGATTCATAGGCCAGAAATGAATGGATATAAATTATTGTTTTGGACTCCTAAAACGTATAAACTTTCATTGCTTTTATTTTAAGTTTGATAAAGAAGAATGAGTATCTCCCTCTACTCATTTAAATATTTTACAGATGAATTCTTCAGATATTCTGGCTTGCTTATAATTGCATCTGTCCCGTGTAAGAAGGAGAACCTAGCCGCACACTCTAGGAATCAACCAAGGAAAAAAAATGTGAGGTAGCGTATTTTCATACTATTCATTTATGCCTTACAATTGGAATAGATTTACCAATCTAACTTCAAGCTGGTGACTGCCCTGTGCTCACAGAAAATAATACAGGCTTGACTGAGCACCCAAGTACACCGCACTTTCTCTGTGCTGAGATCCCTTCTGCCACAGCCAAACTGTTACTGGTACCCAAGTTGCCTAACTTAAAGCAAAGACAGGTGGAGGCACCGTCCTCACAGACCTTTCAGTCTTTGTGTTTAAGCTCCCTTATAGAATACGTGCTTCAGTGCCCTCTTTTTACATAATTTTTACATAATCCAGGGAGAGCGCTTTTCCCCCAGCTGCAGACCCCAGCTCCTCCAAGTCTCCACCCTTGCCTTTCGCCCAGAGCTGGCACAGCAATCTCAGCAGTGTTTATTCAGCCTTGGAGAGAAAGAAGGAGAGCTGAGGGTTTATTCTCTATGTGGACATGGAACTGTACCACAAACATGCTAGACTGGTTAAGAAATCATTACATATCAAAACACAATTATCAACAGCAAACATTTGCATTGCTCATTTCTCAGAGTACAAAGACAATCTTTTAAATAAGTGAATGAAATTAAAATTCCAAAAGAAGAATATGTAAAATGTAGATCTCTCTAAAAAGCATAATGGATAGGACTGCATGACAAAATAAAGAGATTCTAAAAAAAACCCAAAGCATCTGCATAATGTTCCTTTGCTCTAGTATTTAACTGTATGCTGAGGTTTCTTAAGGATAATAATGGTATCATTGGATGTATCTAGAACTAGAAGAATTCAATCAAAAATTCATCTCCCTGATCCTCAGAGGAAAAAAATGACTGTATACATTTACATGACATCTACATATACAGAAATGCATGTATACTTACTTCCCAGCTCATTTCTAGTAGTAATTCGGTGTCTGGGTTTAGTGCTACGTTCCATGAGGCTCTCCTCTGAAAACGGACTACCTACATACGCTGTCGTTTTACTCGGCAATATCTCCTCCTCTGAGAAGTGAATAGAGCTGTGGAAAAGCTAAATTTTACTTTTGAGCATGGCAGAATTGTTTATCGTGTTTCAATGAATGTGCAAATCTGATGAAAGTAATGCGATTGAAGACGTGCCAGTTGAGCATAATATAAAGACTATGAAGTTGTACAGGTTCCTGAAGAAAATTTGCCTTGCGTAATACTTAATTAGTGGGAGTGTAGCATACACGTGAAGAAAACTAAGTTGGTTCTACAAACCTAAAAATGTTTTGCTAAGCAGCGCTTCTGACGTGGAAGAGCTGGCTCTATAGACAGGGCGCAATCGTTTTTTTTCATGGAGTTGCTGCTACCACAAGCAACCAGTGGAACAGCAAACACGTGGCTAAAATCCATCCAGGAAAACAACTTGGTAGCACAAATCCCCCCACATATAATATACACGTTGTGGGTTTTTTACCTCTGGGGAGACAGGGGACACTTGTTTGGCAGCCAACACCACCACAGCACTTGCATGGCATCTCCTCCTGCAACTGCCCATCACCCACAGTGGCCAGAGGGGAACGGGGAGCAGCAGGCTCTTTATGTCTGGGTAGGTAAATCTTCATTTAAACTCAAACTGAGGAATCCAAAATCCCAATCCCAAGCTGCTAGAATGGATCACCGTCTTTGAAAGTATTTCATTCACTTATTTCTTGGAGAAAGTCACATTTTCGGCTAGGCCTGAGCTACTCGGGGATGGACAAGTAGCGTGTAATCTGCTGAGAAACTGCTTTGTGGGAGCAGTGCTGTAAACCAGTTGACATCAATCTGCAGCAGCTTCACAGGCTACAAGGGCAGCTCAAACTAAGAATAACCCTGACTACCTTCACAGGCTGCTGAAGGCCCACATTGCCGCTAAAGAGCTTCGACAGAAACGTTAAGAGTAGAAGTAACAAAAAGAAATTCTACACATTGTAAATAAAATCAGTACTTAGGTGAACAAGCTATAGTTTCAGCTATAGTTCAATTCCTGGGATCCCTTGTTGCTGTGACTTTAAATCTGCTTATGTGTGAACTGAGTTTTCCTGCTCCATGAAAATTGCGGAGGGACAAACTGAGCCTCCTGTAGCAATAAACTCAGTCACCAGGGAAATGAACGCACAAGATAAGGCTGGAAAGGAAGA